CTAACTCTATAAATGTTGAGAATTAAAATAGCTGAGACAAAGACCATTACTTGTGGCTGAACAATGCCCAAGTTAACATTTCATTGTAAAATATTTGTCAACCACTCCCCATTTAATTTTTATATACGTTAAGCAACTGATGATCAATCATTTAATCAGGAATTTGAATGACTTATCACTCAGCCTATTGTCACAAATAGAGGAGGCTTTGCATTTTACAGTTCATGATATTGTGGTTCTGTTCTGTTCATGGTAACTATAGACATACTATATACTGAAGTGAAATGTCATCAATGAAATGAACTTTTAATATTAATTGGCGTGTGGAATTGCCTATTTACGTATTTTTTCCCTCTTGTATGGATAATCTTTTCAAATGTAATAAAATATGTTTTTACACAAAACGTTTTGTAAAAAAACGTGCACTTTAAAATTGCCAACAATGCAAAAGTAAGTACAATCAGAAAACTGTCACACACACTGTTCACTTACAGATTCAGAGAAAGCTTTCATAATAGCATTTTATGTGACGGAAATGTTTATTTTAAAAATTTTGTCATGTCTCATTTCGTAACCATCTCTTAATAGTTTCTTTTTTCGTTATTATAAATAAATATTGTAGTAGTCTCTTATCTGATAAACCCCAAATACATGCATATTTCTTAGTCTTTGTTAGTTGAATTTCGTGCAAAGCTACACGAGGGCTATCTGCGCTAGCCGTCCTCAATTTGAAATCACAGATTAGATAGAGGAAAAACAGCTAATCAACACCGCCCACCGCCAACACTTGGGATACTCTTTCTAGACTGAATAATGAAAGTTAACCGTCACTTTTGTAACATACTCAAAGATCCAAAGTGCAGAGCACGGTTTTTTATTATTATTTTGTGTGTGTAGTAACGGGACACGAAACACGGAATCTCAATTCCACACTTGGGTAGGCTAACCACTGAAACGAATCGGTCAAATTACATAAATAAAAATTAAAATACATCCTTGAAACACCAACTATATATTTGTAAAAGTAGAGGAAAACAGATATATAATATCAAATTCTAATGTTATTCCACTGTGTTAAGTCATTGATTAACTTTAATTAGTTCTTGAAGAAAACTTGAGACAATGAAAACTTTATGGCGTATCAGAATCCTACTTTGTTCCCATTAGTTGTTTCTAGGTTTGAAAGAGCAAAAAATCACTTTATTCTTGGCAATTCAAAAAAATAAGTTCAATGTAATATCTTTAAAGTTTGTTTGTGTGTAATTAAGCACAAAGCTACACAATGGGCTATCTGTGCTCTGCCCACCACGGGTTTCGAAACCCGGATTCTAGCATTGTAAGTCCGCAGACATACCGCTGTGCCACTGGGGGCATCTTTAACGTATTATATTAGTTTTTTTTTCGTTTGAATTGGTTATATTTAGATTTTGAATGCGTCATTTTCTTTTCTTACGAAAGTCTGATAATTTCTAAAAGTTAATGATGTTCCAGTATTTAGGACCTTAGTTAAAATCGAGTTCGATTGTTATGTTTTAACGAAAAATAAATGGAATAAATGAATTTATAAAAATAGTAAACTTATTGCTGCTGGGAAGCTTTCCATTATTAGAAATTGTTTTTGACTTAAAAACAGTTCAAGACATCCATGTAATTAATATAGTAACA